AAAGAGCCGGCGCCGCGGCGGCTGGTTGCAGAGCTTGGCGCCGCTGTTCCCACTCCGGCTCCGGAGCTGCCACCGCCACTGCCACCGCCACTGCCGCCGCCGCCGCCGCCGCCGCCGCCGGACGCACTGCCGCACGGACCCCGCAGCCCTTGCCGGCCCCAAGAGAACTCTGCAGTTCGCGCCTCCTGCCTGTCCAAGCACCGCGGCCACCTGCGCACAGATGGAGCTGGACCACATGACGAGCGGCGGCCTCCACACCTACCCTGGGCCCCGGGGCGGGCCGGCGGCCAAGCCCAACGTGATCCTGCAGATCGGTAAGTGCAGGGCTGAGATGCTGGAGCACGTGAGGAGGACCCACCGGCACCTGCTGACTGAGGTGTCCAAGCAGGTGGAGCGGGAGCTGAAGGGGCTGCACAGGTCAGTGGGCAAGCTGGAGAGCAACCTGGACGGCTACGTGCCCACCAGCGACTCGCAGCGCTGGAGGAAGTCCATCAAGGCCTGCCTGAGCCGCTGCCAGGAGACCATCGCCAACCTGGAGCGCTGGGTCAAGCGCGAGATGCACGTGTGGAGGGAGGTCTTCTACCGCCTGGAGAGGTGGGCTGACCGCCTGGAGTCCATGGGCGGCAAGTACCCGGTGGGCAGTGAGCCGGCCCGCCACACCGTCTCCGTGGGAGTCGGGGGTCCTGAGGGCTACAGCCACGAGGCCGATGGCTACGACTACACCGTCAGCCCCTACGCCATTACCCCGCCGCCGGCCGCTGGCGAGCTGCCCGGGCAGGAGCCTGAGGAGGCCCAGCAGTACACGCCCTGGGTGCCCGGCGAGGACGGGCAGCCGAGCCCTGGCGTGGACACGCAGATCTTCGAGGACCCGCGAGAGTTCCTCAGCCACCTGGAGGAGTACCTGCGGCAGGTGGGTGGCTCCGAGGAGTACTGGCTGTCGCAGATCCAGAACCACATGAACGGGCCGGCCAAGAAGTGGTGGGAGTTCAAGCAAGGCTCGGTGAGGAACTGGGTGGAGTTCAAGAAGGCGTTCCTGCAGTACAGCGAGGGCACGCTGTCCCGCGAGGCCATCCAGCGCGAGCTGGACCTGCCGCAGAAGCAGGGCGAGCCGCTGGACCAGTTCCTGTGGCGCAAGCGGGACCTGTACCAGACGCTGCACGTGGACGCCGAGGAGGAGGAGGTCATCCAGTACGTGGTGGGCACCCTGCAGCCCAAGCTCAAGCGCTTCCTGCGTCACCCGCTGCCCAAGACGCTGGAGCAGCTCATCCAGAGGGGCATGGAGGTGCAGGACGACCTGGAGCAGGGGCCCGAGCCGGCCAGCCCCCTCCGCGCCGCCGAGGACGAGGCCGAGGCCGAGGCCCTGACGCCGGCCCTCACCAACGAGTCCGTGGCCAGCGACCGGACCCAGCCCGAATAGAGGGCAGCCCGGGCGCCCGCCTCCCCGCCACAGCCCACCTGTGGCCTTTGCCCATTGGGACTTTGGAGCTGGACTGAGTCGTGCAGTGGGCGGCCTCGTTCTCGTCCAGTTGGAACCCCTCAGCCTCCCAGCCCGATTCGCACAGACACGCGTCGTCCAGTCGCGGGCAGTGTGCCCCAAACAGCACAGGAACCCCTCTCCCCTGCCAGACCCTGCCCTGTCACCCTCCGTCTGTCTTCCGGGGCTCTGGGCCTGCCTGGGCCACTCCCCCTTCCCCCCCCACCCCACACACACTCAGGCCATGACAGGAGCCCAGCCTCCTCATCCTGCTCAGCGCTCGGGCCCTCTGGGCACTCAAAAACCGAGTGTCTGGGTGGCATTGGCCAGCGGGCACCAAGCTCAGGGGACACCCCAGAGCCGAAGCCAAGGCAGAACCAGTGCCCTGGGAACCTCAGCTTCGGGCCGCGGCCTGGCCCCGGCCGTCGCCGTGCAGGGGGCTGGCCCGCCTCGGGCAGCGTGGCTCCCTGTCCCCGAGGACAACCGAAGCTGAGACGCAGCAGCGGCAGCAGCAGACCTGGCGGCCGGTGCCTCCTGGACCCTCAGGTGAGCGCCCGCATCATGGCAGCACCGATAGGGGGCGCCGTAGAGCTCAGCGGTCCCAGGGCCGCGTCCGCGTTCCAGGCCAGCCCCCCAAAGCTCAGAGGGCACCCCAGCCAGTTAGCACAGGGCTGGGCTGGGCTGGCATCGTGGGGAGCAGGGCTGGGGGCTTGCTGAGCTGGCTCTCACAGGCCTGTGTGTGCTCTCACGCAGAAGCGTCGGTGATTCATGCCAGCCTGGAGAAGGGTTGAACTCGGCTTGGTGACTCACCAGTGGCAGGTGGAGGGTCCCACGGGGCCGAGTCCTCCAACCGGCTGAGGCAGCAGCCGGTGTCCATGGAGCCAGGAGAGAGACAGCAGGTAATGGAGCCCCGTCCACCCCGCCCCCAGAGACCCCGACCCTCAGCCGCGCTGGCCAGGGGCCTGTGAGTGCCTCCCCGGCCTGGGCGCAGCCCCCTGCCCCACTGCTCCGGGCAGGCAGGGCTCTCAGCCCGTTTGGTGCCCCCTGCCCTCCCTGGAGGCCGCCCCAGGCCCCTGCCTCGTCCCTGACTGTCCTGCGTCTTCCCTTGCAGGTCTCGAGGTTCCCACCGAACGCTGCTGCTACGCCCGGCACTGCCCGCCCCCCTCTCCCCCTGCAAGCTGCCTGCACAGGAGCCGCAGGCCAGCCAGAGAGGGGGCTGCGGAGAGGAGGGGCCAGGCGGAGAGCTGCTGGTGAAAAGGGCCAGCGCGAGGGCCAGGGCCTGCCACTATGCCCGCCCCGCTGGCCGCCAGCCTGCCCGCCCCGAGGGCCAATGTGGCTGGAGTCGGGGTCCGTGACCTCGGGCCCCACCGTGCTCCAGCCTGGGCCCCCCCGCCCCCTGCGCAACCATCCTCTCCTGCCTGAGCTTTCCGAGAGCCGGGGTATGAGGCCGCCGCCCCTGCCCGGTGGCCTCCCCCAGCCCCAGGAGATCGAAGCCTCCGCTCCTGGGGCTCAGGCTGGCTCTCTGCCAGGCCCAGTGGGCCTGACCCAGACCCCACCTCCCTGGCTCCAACTCTCTGGTGCGGGTCCGACACTCGTGCCTGCAGCTAGAGCAGGCCCTGTTTGGGATCCCCTTTCTTGCCTGGCCACTGAGGGTTCCCAGATTTGGGGGACCGATGTCTACAGGGGATGCTGCCAGCCCTTCCACACTGTGCCCCTGCCAGTCCCCCCAAATTTTATTTTTGCACATAAGCCATAACCCAAACTCACAGGCTGGCACAGGCTGCAGGGAGGCCCCGCGTCCCCGGCCCCCCACAGACCCAGCCGCGAGTGTCGGGCCAGGCCAGGCAGCCCCGCCACCTTCCCTGAAGACAGACGCTTTTGTAAGATTTTGTTAATAAAACACGGAAACATTTGGGAGCGTGCGTGCTGCTGTTTCTTTGCCAGCTCGGGAGGCTGGAGCGGGGCTGCAGGACGAGGCAGCGCAGGGCGGTGGGACCCTGGAGACCGGGGGAGCCCAGCCCCGCTGCCCCACAGGGCAGCCAGCCAGGGCCCCGGGTCCTCGGGAGAGAAGGCCTTAGGGGCTCCCCTCCCGGCAGCCAGCCCCGTGCAGCCCCCCGGCCCCAGGCAGGCAGCGGCGGAGGGCTTGGGAGGGGGCCGAGGCCTGCCCCCACCCCTGAGTCTGCCTGAGTGTGTGGTGGGGGGTCCCGGGAACTCTCAGGCCTGCGTGCCGGCCCGGGGGACCTCTCAGACCCCGGAGCCCCGGGCACCCTGCTGAGTGGGCGCCTGGCGCGTCCTGGCTATAGAACCCTGAGCTTGGTCTCTCAGCCTCAGTTTCCTCATCTGCGAAACGGGGGAACCACCACGAATACAACCCGCAGGGGGCTCAGGAACTCTGATGCGCCGCGGGCAGCCAGCCTCGCCTGCCCCTGAGGCAGGTGCCAGGCCCCCGAGGGGGAGGGAGAGGCGGCCCGGAGCGGGCTCGTGCCCGCCGGCATTTAAGGAGAAGCAGGGCGCGTGGGAGGTGGACGGAGGAGCGTTGGTTACACGGCGTTGGCTCCGTCGTGGGGCTGGCGAGGCCACCCCGCTGTCCGGCTGGACTCTGCCGCCCTGGGGGAAGGATCAGCTCTGCTCGGAGGGGCCTGAACCTTGGGCTGATGGAGCCCGGACCGCTCAGTGGGCTCCGCGTCAGAGCCGGCGGGACGAAAGACCCCGGCAGCACCCGGACTAGGGTTCGATCGGCAGCCTGAGCATGGTCCCCTAGCCAGGCTGCCACGCAAAGCCCCATCACAACCGCCTTTGTCATCGGCAGGTGCTTGTCACCTCCCCAGCGGGTCCTGCCCCTCAGAAGGCGCGGCTCTGCTAGGCGCATGCTGGGCCAGGCGAGGTGGGGTGAGGTGGCTGCGGGCGGCACCAGCCCCGCCTGGGTAGGGCTGCCCCCCGCTGAGGGCCTGGGGGAGGACAGAGCCTGCTGGGACTCGAGGGGACACCGGGAGAGACAGGAAATGAGCTGGAGCCCAGAGAACCACCTGCCGCCGGGAAGCGCCGCCGCCCTCCGTGCAGAGGCCGTGGCCCTGAGCGCAGCGCTGGGGATGAAAGGCAGCCTCTGCTCTCGGCTCCCCCCCTGCCTCTCTTTTAAGTAGTGACAGTGCCAGACAGGAACGGGGAGCGGAAGGGGCAGGAACAGAGGCCGGGGCGCCACGGCGGTGCCCGAGTGGCAGTCACTTCTCGGGAGTGCTGCTGCTGACATCCAAGGCTGGAAGCTGGGGCTGCGTCTTCCCCTTGATAAGGAGCCACCCCCTGATGGATGACTGTGAACCGCGTGGCCGGGGCCGCTCCGATGCTTCGAGATGCAGCACTGAGTCTCTGTCCCCAGGAAAGAGGCTGGTGGGCTGGGCCGGCCAGTGTCTCTGCCTCTGTGTGTCTGTCTCTCTCACTGTCTCTCTCTGTCTCCTCCCCCCTCCCTCTGCAGAGCCAAAGAGCTGAGCTGGGAAGGGGGGGCAGAGTAGGTGGGGCTCCCGCCGGCCCTGGGGTCTGGGGGACGAGGGGGTGGAGAAGGCCAGCACAGGGCGGGAAGGGCGCGTTTTAGAGGCCTAGGAAGGGCAGATGGGACGGTGCTGGGCACTGGGAGAGCCCCTTCCTGCCCGCCGCGGGAGCCGGGAGGGGCCGGAGGGCGCGCCCCCTCCGGATAGGCACCAGCCACCCCAGCCCCTCCCCGCGGAGCCCGACTGTGGCCCAGAGCAGGGATCACACTCCAGAATCTGCTCCAACAGCCCTGCGCCAAGCCCCAGACACCCTAGGGACACCCTGTCGGGAGAGCCACATGGCCTGAGGGGGCGGGGGCGAGATAGGGCTGCAGAGTGGCAGAGTGGGGGTGGCCTTGCCAGAAGCGGGACCCACATCGGCGGGGGGGGGTGTTCTCACCAAGCCCCCCAATGCTGCTGGCCAGTCCCGCCCCCTCTCTGTGCCCCCGTGTCCACCTGCAGCTGCACCCTCCTGGGACAGGCCCGGCCTCCGGCCCCCGCTGGCCCCCTGCTCGGCCCGCTCCCCGAGGCTCCCCGCTTCTGTGGCTGCCGCGGACCACCGCCCGAAGCTGCCGCTGTCCTTCCCCGGCCTCGAGCAGTGTCCGGGACCGTCCGGCGGAGGCGGGGGCGGCCTTCCTCCCTGTCTCTCCCAGGAGGCCAGATCACCATGTCCACTAACTCCGTGTTTGGTGTTGTTATCATGGTGCTGAAAATCCGTGGGGGCCGCGGCCTCGATGACGCCTTTACCTCCCCGCACGGCGTTTGCCTTTTTCCCGGAATTTCAAATCGCTTGTTTCTCGTGCTCTGCGCATCGTCCGTCACCCACACGCCTTTCCTCGCCGAGGCTCCGCCACACGGGCCGTCCCAGGGGGTCTGCTTCCTGTTCGGCTTGCGTTGTTCAGTTTCCCGGAGGCCCCCCCGCCTGGAACAAAACACCTTTGGGAATAAGACTGCTGATCAGGCAGCTCCTGGGCCCAGCTCTTGAAGTGTCCCCACCACCACCCACTGGATGCATCTCCGCCTTCGAGCGGCTTTCCAGGGCCCCTCCCCACTGCAGCAGGGATGGCCGGGTGACAGGCCTCTGAGGCCCTCTCCGGCACCACCCCGCCTGCCTGTGGGAGTCCCACGGGGGTCCAGAAGCGGCCCTGATACTCCCACAGGGAACGGCCACTGCCTGCCAAACTGCCGCTCGCCCTCCAAGGCCCTGCTCTGGTCCCGCCTCCATGGACCCTCCCCGCCCCTCCCCGAGGACGGAGACCCCACGCCAGCCCTGCACCCC